TAGATCGATGAGAGAGATGAAATGGAATGAAGTCTAATGTTAAGTGACCAACAGGATGATTTCATAATCTAGAGTGGAAACTTTAAGAAAGCGATTATACCATCTGTCTGATGAACTCTTTCAGTCAAGAAGTTTGTACATTTCTGAATAATCAATCATTTCTTATTTTTGAAGTTACTTTATAAGCTTTATAGACGCTAATAATAACAAATGTATTATCTACATTAAGATGGTGACTAGTGATGACCAACATATCATCAATATCTTAAATAAATCTACACTTCTAGGATCATCAACACATCTTTGTCGATTATTAACTTCGGTTGGTTCTATTTACTTGAATTTTCCCATTGATATTTAAGACTGCAATTTATCAGTCTCTTATTGGCATATGTGTATTCTGTGAGGATTGCCTCGGTATTGCCTTAATTCACAAACATGATAAGCAATGATGGATGGCGGCTAGCCGTGGAATTCAGGACATGTGTTTCGTCCTATTTGGTACTGTTTTAGCTGGATGTATCTGCATCTTAGAGTTGATGTTCACTGTCTGACACTCTAATCCAGTACTGTTCGCTTCAAACTTCATCGCATTATAACGCTTAGCTACTGAGTCCTCATAGCCAATTGCTTGTGCAATCGGGTGAAGTTGAAATTCACTTGAATCTTCCCATTGATGTTTTGGACTGCAATTGATCAGTTTGTTATTGGCATATGGGCGTACTGTGCGTATTACCTCGATATCACATTAATTCACAAGCATTCGAAGCAAACATGGGTAGTGGTTAGCAATGGAATACAGGAGGCGCGTTTCCTTCTATTTGGCATTGTGGCACATTACTTATTCAAGATGGGTACAGATTTACAGTAAACCTACTTCCATGTTTACATCATAATAAATCATAAGATGAATGTAGAGAATGAATTCTAGTCATCAGTTATGATCATTCAGAATGAATAAATCTAATCGAAGAGTACATAGTATGCATTGATAATAAAATTTAAGATTGAAGGGGTAAGATGAAGAATCAATTTATTTATGCTACTTTGGTCTATTCATAACTTTAAAACACAACCTGGTGGTTGAAAAAATGAAGCTGAAGTTAAAGAAACACTAGACATCTGGGGTAAACAACAGTACAAAGTTTCAATACAGCTTTCCTATGAGATACTAACAAATTCAATGAATCTAAGATAACTTTCAACAACTGGTACTATGCCTTATAAGATCTAGTGGATGAAAAGAAAACTGCCGTGGAGAACAATTGAGAATAGATAAAAAAAAGCACCAACTTCAACTTCTACTCATTTTCTTTTAAATAAACCATGAATCTAAGTTTCATACTAATTGATCCTTTTCAAGGGTAATATCTAAACTTATGTGTGTGTGTGGGGGGGGATTGAACTGATACTCTCATTAGAATCTAAACTTAAACTATCTAATATTACTTGAATAACCAATACAATTACCATAAAGCTAATTATCTCTAACTCAACACTCTCTATGTAGTAGTAAGTAATCATAATTTCAATAAGCCAAATTTAATTCACAATCTTCATATTTTGTAGTAAAATAAAATAAATTTAAATTCTAATGGTCTCTACTTTCAAATAATATTTGAATTTTGATAGAGTTTTGTTCACTGAGTTGGATGGTTCGGTCCTGGAGCTTTCATCGTTCTTCTGAATAACATCATCAGTACAAGCATCAGGGCCCCCGAATGCCCTGATACGGCCCAGAGTGAAGAGAGTTCGCTCTCCCTCTCGAAATGCTCTCATATGGCCACGCGTATATAGCCTCTGACAGGGAAGCCCTACTCACTGCCTTCTCGCGCCACGGGTGTTGTTTGCGAAATTGAGAGGACGAAAAGCGAATGTCTAGCGCTTTAACCCGGTTGGTGGACATGGAGAGTTCATCTAGGGGAGTTGGAAAACCCTGATTCCAAACTAATGGTGCACATGGGCCCCAGTATCTTGAAGGAAAAAATGATTTATGAACCAGTTGTTGGTCACCGACTACCATGGGACTGTATCTCCTTACGTTGCTCCACTGTCTTGTAGATCAGACCTTCAGATCAAAGGCTCCGAGTGTGGCCCCCTAAGAAAACCACGTGCTTCGGTTTGGGCACTCGGACAGTATCACAGCCCTCACATATATCAAATGAGATTTGTGTGGCACATATGTATTTGGTGCCTCCTTGTACCAATATCTATGTGTTAAAATAAATAAATAAGTAAACAAACTTCAGGTAGAAGTGAAGTGTTCGAATTTCTACACACATATGGTTCACAGCTTGTCCCGGAGATCTCAATGTTGATTAGTTCTTGTTAACATTAAACCTGTCATTGTTTACTTGTTCGTTTGTTTGTATCTCCAATTGGTTTAGTTCTTGGTTCTATGTTAGTCCATAATTTTCCTGATTGGTCCATAAATTGGATTGATTTGAATCAACATCGAAGTGTACAGGACAAGTTGTGAACCATATGTGTGTAGAAATTTGAACACTTCACTTCTACTTTAAGTTTGTACTGATAATGTTGTTCAGAAGAATGATGAAAGCTTCACGATCAAAACCATCCAAGTCAGATAATAAAACTCCACCAAACTCATCTATCTGAGCTCACAGTTGATTGATCACTTGGTGGTGATCAATGTCATGCGTGTCAAGTCCTTGTTTAGTGCAGATCGAATGCTATCGACCATGTTGTAATGTGGCCACCAGTCTAGGTGACTCGACATTGCGGGCACTGTATATTGAAATTAGATGGTGATTGAAGGTAGTCGATAGGAAACCCTGGACCTGGGTTTCGTGCTACTTGGCGCTCGTCAGCAAGGTGTACCTGTAATCTTGAGGGAACTGGTTCTCTCTGACGGATTCGATCTCGTGTCACTTAGCTTCACAGTCAGAGACGTTACCGCTGAGCTGTCCGGGCGGCGGGTCCGGGTTCCAGAATCCAGGATTTCCTGTCGACTACATCCAACCACCATCTAATCCATCTGAGCTACAAATCTTCTCCACCAACTAATTATTATTTATTCAGTTAATTAAATATTAACTATAACCGCCTGGTCTGTACCAGAATTAAAATAATTCATCTTTTGTTTTGTTTTTTTCCGAATAAAATGTGAATAGAATGTGAACATCCAAGTAGTTGTTTGTTTAAACTTAATGCTTTTTATCATTAAAATAATTTGAATATCAGAACACAAATAATTTAGTTACTAATTAGTTGGTTGCTATGCGGAAAGATTAGCACAAAGTGACAAAACAGAACAACAACAACAATAATAACAATGCTTTTGAATGATTTCTCGTGTATATTGTGACCACCAAATGAGAAATGTTAAGGTTAGAAACAATATGACAAATTAATTGATAAGGTATATGAGATATATATTACATAAATCTATCCATCATCGTTAATAGAAATAAATTGTAAGGAAGTTAATGACAATGAGCCTAGACATAATGTGGTTGAGAAAATTTATTACTTAAATGGATGATTGTGTTGAAGTTTGATTCCTTGAGTTAAATACTCTAGTTGTAAAGATTTCATTGTCTTCTTAGACAACGCTATCAGGTAAATGCTTCAAGTAAACGTTGTTCAGTAGGACAACAAAAGCTACATAATTAAAGTCCTGAGTTAGTGCTATATCCCGATGAGAATTATGAATGGTAACTTTCGAGAACTATTTATGGATCAATACGATACACACATTTTTATTGTATGATTGTTAAATAACTAAACTATCTGCATGTTCATGTTCCTCTTATTATAAACTGTATGTTGACCCATAGACTATTATTATACGATCTACCATTCTTGAGTTATGCCCAGTTTAGTAATTACGATCTCCCATATTCACAGCCACATTTGGTTAAATCTTGTACAAATGTTGTTTCCTATTTTATGGTACGATGTCGTCTGTTAGGCTGGTGTATATAAACCCAGTCTGTTTGAAATACATGATTCATATCGCAGAGGCTGAGATTTGCTTTGGACTTAACAGAAAGGGCTACCCAGGAAGAAGGACTGATAAACACTCTAGATTACTCGTACAGGTTTATACGTCATTGGTCCGGTCGATAAACCACTATTCTCTAAATGGCGGTATCATTACGTTATATATATATATATATATATATATATATATATATATATATATATATATATATATATATATATATATATATAGTGATAAAATCATAAGGTCACAAGAGATAACAATACGGGTCATCAGTGGAGACTGCTGAAGAGTCCCTATAATCTATGACGTTGTTTTTTAATAGTTACCTAACTGAAATCATCCCTTAATATAAACCTACAAACATCAACATTCTTTACAAGTACGGACAACAACAACAACAACAACAACAACAACAACAACTACTACTACTACTACTACTACTGCCACCACCACTACTACTACTGCCACAACCTCCACCACTACTACTAACACTACTACTAGGGTGGCTTGTTACTCATTGAAGTTTTAATAATAATAATAATATCACAAACCACAAACCCCTTCTGATAATAATCATCTGCTCACTAGTGACTGACTTCAAGAGATACTCCTGGAGTTCTAGTGAGAAGCCGTTACCAGTGGAGTACAACCAGGTCTGTTGTGAGATATCAGCTCACTGAAGACAATGGTATGCGGTAGTGCAACTTCGTGGATTGGTTGAAGTTAGACATTAACACCACTGGATGCTGGCTCAGTGGTCTAGCTGGTCAAGCGCTTGGCGCGAGACCGATAGGTCCTGGGTTTGAACCTCGCGGGGTGCGGGATCGTGGATGTGCACTGCTGAGGAGTCCCATACTAGGATGAAACGACCGTCCAGTGCTTCCAGGTTTTCAATGGTGGTCTAGCTTCAACTGACTCATGATTTCAATCTGTGAAAATAATAATAATAGTTTTTGTTATTCTCCTTTAAATGATTTTCTTTTCACCTTCTTAGAATCGAAAGATATTTCATCAAATAAAGAGTAATGAAATGACAGAATTGAATGAACCATTTAATAAATTAAAACAATCCAATAATTCAGATATTTCATTATCAAATGTGAATTATGATCAAAAATCAATGAATCAAATTGAACAATTATTATGTCAAGTTTTAAATGAGTAAGAATATGAAAATGTTTATTATTATAATTATTTCAAATTTACTTAGTTACTTACTTCCGCCTGTTACCCCTCGTCGTGGAGGAGTTATAGGTCGAACATCAGCATCTATCATCTAACTTTGTCGTCGGCAATCCTTTGCAGTTGCTATTCATCGTTTACATGTTTGCTTCCAATTTTCGACGTAATGTGCTCTTTGGCCTTTCACTTTTCCTCTTCCCTTCAGGATTACAAGTTAGTGCTTGCCTCGTGATACAGTTTGATGATTTCCATAATGTATGTCCTATCGACCTCCAGCATCTTTTTCAAATTTATTCTTGAGTTAGAAGCTGGTTTGTTCTCTCCCACAGAAGGCTGTTGCTGATGGTATTCGGCAAACTCACATTGAGTATCTTGAGTAGACAACTATTTATAAATACTTGTATTTTCTTGATGATTGTTGTAGTAGTTCTGGAAGTTTCAGCTCCGTACATGAGAACAATCTATCATGACGTTCGTATTGAAGATTGTGACTTTGATATTGGTTGACAGACAGTTGTTTTGAGTTCCATATGTTCTTCAATTGTAGAAGTGCTTTGCCGATCCCCGCCTTTATGTCTGCATCGGATCCTTCTTGTTCATCATTGATGCTTCCCAGGTACGTGAAACGTTCTACCTGTTCCAGAGTTCCTCCACCGAATCTGATTGATTGGGTTGGTGTATATGCGATAAATGGGTTAGGTTATCTTCAAAGTTCAAATCATTTAATTTCATGCAAGCTGTCGATTTTATTCCATCCTTCCAGTCAGATGTCTAGGTCTTCACAAACCTCTCAACCACCACCATATTTTTCAAAGTGAATATTTTTTTTCTCTTCTTTATTTTATCATAAACATCTGCCATCAATGATTAAAATACACTTCTACTATATGTATACTGTAAAATAAATTGTAAACTAATGGATAATTTCTTATATTGTTCCATGTGAGAGCATTTCGGGAGAGAGAACTGACTCTCCCGATTCTCGTCCGTATCAGGGGGAGATGTATAACCAGCAAGACCATAACTCACGAAGACATTGATCGCCACCCAGTGATCAATCAATTGTGATTACATCTCAGTCCTACAAGAGGTCGATCGTGGCTTGGATAGCTCAGTGGTAACATCTCTGACTGTGAAGCTGGGTGACACAAGATCGAATCCGCCAGGGAGCACCAGTTCCCTCAAGATGACAGGTTCAGGGTTTCCTGTCGACTACCTCCAACCACCATCTAACCTCAATATATAGTGCCCTCAGCGTCGAGTCACCTAGACCGGTGGCCACATTGCAACATGATCGATAGCATTCGATCTGCACTGATCGCCACCCAGTGATCAATCAATTGTGAAAGTATTAGATTATACGACTCAGTAGTTAAACGTAAAATGCCTTGAACGCTCAGCCGCTAATTTGAAGTCTTGTAGTTCTCTCAATTATTTGTTATACATGATGACAGTGATCGAATTCTGAAGAGCATCATGAGTTCGACAACCACATGTATATTTTTAAGAAAGTTATGTAATTAAAGTAACCAAACAAGACCAAGGTTACGTTTTTTTTTGGGGGGGGGCAAGTAAAAGATCGATTAAAATCTTGACTATCAACTACAGGAGATTACAAACTCTGGTAGAAATGCTTTCATATCCATTAAAAAATTACTAACTGTTTGGACTAAATAGCTCAATGGATAACATGTTGAGTATTGAAAGCAAAAATTACTTGATTTGATCTCCATTTAGTAAACACTAACACTGCGATGCAGATAAATTCACTTCGGTCAGTCATTCAGTCAGTAACAACGTAGAACTTCGTACGTACGTACATCAGTTCGAGTTGTCATACCACATTAGCACAGAGATACATTTGTCAATTCAAATCCCAGCGCGGTAGAGGTAGGTAAAATTATAAGCAGTAATCGGAAACATTAGAGTTTGAAGATATTATTCAAGGAGTATAATTCAGTGAAATAAATTTGGAAAGAGAAAAAATAAAGGGACATGAAGAGTCCAGAAGATTGGAATTCGAAAGAACATAAAAAGTGGAGGCAACTGCGCTATTGCAAACGATTTTGAGCCATGTTATTCAAAGTCTCTAATCATCGGTTGCTATCGTCTCGCGGTCCCCAACCACGTAGTCTACATCTACCAACATGGCTTAGTCCACTTGTCAGTGACTTCATGGACTTGTACCATGTTTTGTTCTGGCCGCTCCTAGATTTTATCCAACTTACTCCTACATCATAAAATACCAGTCGTCGGGGCAGTAGGTGATTGGGCATACCTAACACATGTCCAGGCCATCTCAACTGATGATAATTTCACTTGAAAAGTTCGAAATATTATGAAGCAAATGTTCTGGATTTCTCTACTAGTTACATACTAAATATACCTAGAAAGTTGTGATGTATCTCTGTATTAAGGCAATCCACTTAAGGTACACATATAACATAAGAAATTGATCGATCTCACTCCTGAATATTAACAGCAAGGTGTTATAAACTCTTGCAAATACCTTCATACTCAATGAACAAGTTAGAGATTATTTGTGGGGGGGGGCTCAATAGCTTATTAGATAATGTGTTGTTAGTTGAAGATTAAAGGTACTTGATTCGATCATGTCATGAATTCATTTAGCATATTGATTCATCAATCATTCTTCTTCAATTAATTTTACAGAAATTCTATTTTAAGAGAGAAAAATGAAGAGTTAAACGAAATGATTCTTAATAATGAAGATCATTCAAAAGTAAGTTGAGCAATATATGCTGATTCATAATGATTTCAATGGAGTTTTGTTCATTGAACTGGATGAATTGATCGTGGAGCTTTCATTGTTCTTCTGAACGACATCATTAACACAAACTCCTCTTGAACTATAAATATTCTCCGCTATCTCAAGATTAGCAATGAAGATCTGCCTTTCAATAGTATTGACTGATCATTTTTTAGTAATCGATGTTATGTTTATTGAATTCTTTTAGTGTTGATCAAATTCTAGTGATTGATCATTTTGATAACGTAGACTATTTGTAGTGCAGGATTATCAATGAATCAAGCTTGTGGATTTTCATGTTCTCTAAGCTAAAAAGTTTAGTTATGAAGATTTCGTGATCTAGAAAGATCATAATTTATTCAATTGTTCAACTAAAAACATGCAGTATTTAATTATTATTGACTATCTTCAAGATGCATACATATTGGCTGTTTGAATCTTTCCGTTGATGCTTAGGACTGTAATGGATCAGTCTCTTTTACCATATTAGGATCGTACACAAATTGTTGCAATATTGCTATTAAGTCACAAACACTATGAGAAGAGGTGAATGGTGGATAGTAGTTGATTCAAGGGCGTGTGTTTCGTCCTATTTGGGACTCTTCAGTTGAACTTACCCGTGTACTGGAGTTGATATTCACTCCATCTTTGCTTATAATGTTTGTGACTTAAGGCAATATCAAGGCAATCTGCACAGGATGCACATATACCAACAAGTAACTAATCAATTGCAGTCCTAAATAACAATGGGAGGATACAAATAAAACAATACCGAGTGAATTTAAACTTCACCCCATTGCACAAACAGATAGCTATCAGGACTCAGTAGCTAAGTGGATAACGTGATGGTGTTTAAAGCTAACGAGACTGGGTTGGAGTCCCGAAGTGAACATCAACTCTGAGATACAGGTACACCCAACTGACGAGTCCCAAATAGAACGAAGCGGGCATCCTGGATTCCACTGTTAGCCACTACCCATCTTTGCTTAAAAAACACACCATTAGTTACTACCTAATAGTCAACTAGTGTCATTATCTAAGTGTTACATGATATCAGTAGCTGATCAACTAACATACTGATGACTTCTCTAAATGTGACTTTAGAAGATGAGAATTTGAATTTCACAAAGATTATCACTTTCATAAAGATTAAAGACGTGTATTACTAATGAATGTCAGCTAAACATGAAATACAGATTAAGTGAAGCTTCCATTAGATCATTGTCAATCATTTAAAGTAATGCATTTATCAGACAACAAGTAAACTATTCATTCGATGAATTTAATTGATCATAGCGAAATGATGATTGTATTCTTCATTCAATTCATCTAAGCAGAAAACAGAATAAGTAATAATAATAATACTCCCCTTTATTCTAATTACTGTAAAGAATTCTTGACCCAATACATACAATACTTCAATAGAGTCCCTCTTTGTATAAGTGTCTAACTTGTGAATATTGAAGAATTATATGTGTAGCGATTTTAAACATTGATCAATAGCCGTGTGTACTTATCGGTATATTTAATAGTTGAATTCATGAGTTAATTGAAGCTAGACCAACATGAAAAATCTGGAAGTAATGGAAGGCCGTTTCCTCCTAGTATGAGACTTCTTAGTAGTGCGCATTCACAATCCCTCCTCGTGGGATTTAAACCCAGGACCTATCAGTCTCGTGCGCGAGTGTTTAATCGCTAGACCACTGAGCAGGCCACTATCCAACGGTGTTAATGTCTAACTTCAGCCAATTCATGCCGTTGCACCACTATGGTCTAGCTTCAATTGATTCATGGATTCAACTATTAAATTACTATAACATCCACAAAATCCCTCTCTCATTATCCGTATATATTTACGATCAGTTGAGCTTGTCTTTATGACATCTCATTTCATCAGCTAATATATATCCATGAGTATAGTTTCGAATAAGATTGTCATCATATTTTGGAGAGACCTAGTCTTTTATGCTCTTAATTTGTGTGATAGGAATTGTAGTGGTTCCTCATTTTCAGGCATAAATAATAGAGAATGCAGACATGATAAATTCTACTATAATTGCTTCTCATTTATCTAAAGGATAGAGAATGGTAGAGGAAAGGAGAAAAGAATGTGCAAACTATCATAGTGGTACTTCTTGAACTTCACAATACTTGACGATATCATGTAATAACACACGGTTTAGCAGACATAATTAATTAAATAAACCAACTTTAAAATATGAATATTTCATTCATGATCTCCATCAAAAACGTTTGGAAAGATGATGATTCAGAAGTTGGATAGGACTATTACATTACCTAAACAATAAGTCATGTTAATCTCACTGATTGAAATCATGAGTCGATTGAAGCTAGACCACCATGGAAAACCTGGAAGCACTAGACGGCCGTTTCGTCCTAGTATGGGACTCCTCAGCAGTGAGCATCTACGATCTCGCACCCCGCGAGATTAATCTGTTATGACACTGGAATGAATGATTTCGTCAGCAAATTAAAATACCAAAAAAACAATGTACAAGGTTTAAACACTACTTTTTTCACTTGATATTGTTTGCTTGTATCTTCCCATTGTTATATAAGACTGCAATTAATCAGTCTCTCATTGGTATATGTGCATCCTGTGCGGATTGCCTCAATATAGCCTTAAGTCACAAACATTCTAAGCAAAGATGGATAGTGGCTAGAAGTGGAATCCAGGACACACGTTTCGTCCTATTCGGTACTCGTCAGCTGGTATTTTGTACCTGCAGGTACATCTAGCTCAGTGGTCTAGAGCTTAAGCGTTCACACGCGAGACCGAAGGTCTAGGGTTCGAATTCAGCGTGTGGGGTCGTGGATACACAGTGCTGAGAAGTTCCATACTAGGATGTATCTCTAGGTACAAAATACCAGCTGACGTGTCCCAAATAGGAAGAAACGCTCGTGCTGGATTCCATTGCTAGCCACCATCCATCTTTGCTTGTAAAACTACTTTTTGTTGATTTAAACAGCCTGTGTTGTCATATATATTTGTGTGAACGGATGTCTTAACCTTTGTGATAACAGTAGTTTGAACTAAACAACATACGTCTAGAATCATTGTTTTATTCCCCCATCTACTGATTAATTGGATACATTTGTATTTTAGTGTGGTAGTATTCAGCATCAATAATATATGTATTATTTGGTAGAGGTAGCCAAAAATCAATATTCTATATTGATTAAATTGGAGCAAAATTAGTGATATAAGTCATGTGATCCTAGAAAGTACATTTCACATTTTGACCTGAAATGTAGCTATGACAAATCAACGAAAACCAACACTTAACAATAATTAAATATATATTTACATATTTTGAGATCATGAATCGATCGATTTTAGACCACCATTGAAAATATTGATCGATTTTACGATCTCAATCAGAAAACTTAATAATTAACATGTGCTCACTAATGACTAGCTTCGTGAGGGAATTCTCGGAGTTCTAGTTAGAAGCCGTGACCATTGAAACTAATCCATGTCCGATAGAGACAGGTATCTACTTCAAACAATAGAAGATGGTCGCTTAGTTTCGTGGATTGGTTAAGGCTAGACATTAATACCGTTGGATGTCGGTTCAGTGATCCATAGGTTAAACGATAACGCGCGAGACTGAAGATCTAGGGTTCGAATCTTGCGTGTGGGATCGTGCTGAGAAGTTCCATACTCGGAACGGCCGTCCACCACTTCTAGATATTCAGTGGTCCGTTTATGATATTAATCAATAAATAAACAGTTAATTTAATCTTTAAGAGTGAATATCTAAACTTATTAGCTCAGTGGATAAATTTGTTGGACATTTGAAACGTTACATTCAGTTAATGAATCCTAGATAAGATGATACTCATGTCCCCGGATTTCCTTGCCAGCCATAGTCCATCTAATCTATAGATAGCTGATGGTTGTTTTTCATTTATCCTAGTTTATCTTGGATAACTTTACTTTTGATTATTTCCTTCAAATATGAAAAAGAAAGGCTGAACTTACTTTGACAAGTAAAGCATTGAAACTGTGTAATTTCACTATTTACTTGATTTTAAATTAAGAATAGTTTCTAAGATGATGAAGGAAATTTATAGCTCTGAATGTTGGTTATAGTGGAATGGTATTGAGATGGTGGAGAAGATTTGTAGCTCAGGTGGATGATTTTGGTGGAGTTTTGTTCTCTGAGCTGGATGGTATTATCTCAACTGGATGACTTTGATTGTGAAGCTTTTATTTCATTTCTTATTTCTTTATTTATTTTAACACGTATATATTGGTACAAGGAGGCACCAAATACATATGCGCCACACAAATCTCATTTGATATGTGTGAGGGCTGTGATACTGCCCGGGAGCCAAAACTGAAGCAGGTGGTTTTCTTAGGGGGCCACACCCGTCGTCTTCGACATGAAGGTCTGATCTACAAGACAGTGGAGCAACGTAAGAAGATGCAGTCCCATGGTAGTCGGTGACCAATAATTGGTTCATACGTCATTTGTTCCTTTGGGATACTCGAGCCCATGTGCACCATTGGTTTGGAATGAGGGTTTTCCAACTCCCCTTGGTGAACTCTCCATGTTCACCAGCCCGGTTAAAGTGCCGGACACTTGCTTTTCGTCCTGTTAATTTCGTAAACAACACCCGTGGCGCGAGAAGGCAGTGAGTAGGGCTTCCCTGTCAGAGGCTATATACGCGTGGCCATATGAGAGCATTTCGAGAGGGAGAGCGGACTCTCTTCACTCTCGGCCGTACCAGGGCATTTGGGGGCTATTTCATTTTTTTATTTCATTTCTACCGGAGATCATCATCATTCAGTTCAGGTAGAAGTGGACTACTCAAATATTTTTACATATGACTAACGGTGAGATTATAATTTATGGACGACCTTTGAATGAGTCTTAAGTGACTTTGGGAAATATAAGCCATTCAGGAAACAGTTAGTATATATTATAGAAACCAAAGAATTAAAGTAGATACAC